GGCCGCCGCGCCGCGGCACCTCGCACAATAGATCGTACAGGCCCGGCTACGAGGACGAAGGTACAAGAACGGTGAAACAACGTTCGCGTCCTCCTTGCTCCAATCCCAAGCTGGCCCTAAAAGCTCTCACATGTTTTCGACTAGTCACCGATTAATCGATTAATCCATTCATCGAATGTGTTCCAGTTAAATTAATCAATCAATTAATAAAGGAGAAGCAGAATTACCATACGCTGTGCAAGTTTATGAAGTGGACGTATTTCTATCAAACAGAACTATGTGTAGGTGAGAAATATGGGGTGCGCTCTAGAAAGCTGCATAAGAAACAATGTAAAAGTGTGCGTGGTTCCTTTTGAAGAATTGGAAAAGCGGGATTTTACATTCTATTAAACAGACCTATGTGCCAACTGAAAGCGGGATTCATGAGCCGCGAGGGTGGGACGAGAGCATTGTGGACAGTGGACACGGCTTATGAGTTAAAGCGCACTACGAAGAGCACGAGCAGCAGCATCGACGGCATCCATTTCCGTTGACGTCACTGGCGCTTTATTATTCTCACTTACTCTTACGGCCAGAGATCTAACGAGCACGAGCACACCCCATATTCCGCACCTCCTCATAGGTCTGTTTGGTAGAAATACGTCCAAATGAAAATTGCATTTTCACTCGGCCAGAGCTTTTCAACCACACCCAGACCTCATCAGGGTACAGAATTATAAAGCATGAAACAACATACGCATAAAAATAGAAGAAAAGCACTGACTACAAATAGGCCGCTATACATTCTTACAAGCAAAGGCGTGCGATACGTCTTGGGATTGAAATGAAAACTTCAAATGCGCTTAACGCTCTCCTACGGGCAAACTCTACAATTGATCATAATGGGTTTTCAACGAGGTTCAATGGGTTAATTACGAGCATCCTCATATTTTCCATTGGCCTGACAAAACTTCAAAGTACCACTAGTTTTTCTTCTTCTTTTTAACATTAAAAATAGAAAGTTGATCTCATTCAAAGAAAGAGATTTGCAAGGAGAAAAAATAAGTTAACTAGTGAATTGCGAGCTTTGAGACATTTTGGAGAATTTTAGAGTCGGCGGAGGGAAATCAATACTTCGGAATGTCCTGTTTCCTTTGTAAGCAATACCTATAAGATACAATACGTACTCAATGAGCTCTACTATCCTGGATCCGAAAGTTGAGTGAGGATAAGAAGAGTAAAATGCCGGTGGTGAAAAGCACGAGAGTAAAAAAGAGCATGCTGAGAATTGTGTCCTATTCTCAAACATTCCTCATTCGCTCGAGTGAGCTGCGTGAGAAAATGTTGTCAATTCCGACGCATCACTTCCAATCAAAGATTAGACTTTACTGAGCAATCTGGGAGCAACTCATAAAAATCTTAAGGCGTTGATCAGTGAGCAGATGAGTTGTAAAAACACGAGAGCTCACGTCTCTGCCAACTTGAGATAAAGTGAAAACGATCAAAGCAGAATACAGAGCCCGTCGCGTCTCCAGAAATAGGAAGGAAATGAAAGGGAACTAGACAACGGACGCTTTTAAAAGTTGATAACGATTGAGTGCAGATTAGGATTCCATGCTTAGGCTGCCTTTTACGATCGCAAATAAATGCGAGCAACCGTAGCCCTCGCTTTCCGCGAACCATACAGAGAAATCTGTCGCTTTATAAACCTCTGGGTTATGAGTCATAAGAGTTGCGTAATATTTATCGAAAATATCGCAGCAGGGTCCATCTACCTTCCTGAAATTTCTTGAAAATATGCGGCTCAACTCTGAAAATTCAAGGAATTCTTCACACTCAACAGCTGCAGTGACTTAAAATTCCCGTCCCTATTTTTTTATTTTGAGGGAAACCAACAGAATCAGCGGCTGACAATTTTCAGGGAACACTTTTCAGATGATTCTTAAAAAAAGAGCAATCCACTTCAAAAAGTGAATTTGATTGGTTTCCCATACAAAAAATATGGGATGATATGAATCTAAACTCGGAAACTGAGGTATATGCGCAATTGGAATTTACTCACCGAATTGCTTTGCAGAAAGAGAACAAGTTAAGTTTCTTGTTTTTACAACAGGACGGACGCGGAGTTATGCAGAAATGACACCCCATGTTGCTTCAAACTCATCGTAAGAATCTCGTTATGCTTGCCAAAGGTTATTTGTGCACTGTGAAACGTTCGATGAGCTTTTACGTAAATCATGAGAACCCAGTTGAAGTTTTTAAGTATTTAAAGTCGAATAAAACCGACTTGTGACAAACAATAAAGAGTTGAAGGAATTTAGAGATTCTTAGGACGAACACAAGAGCACAAGATTGTCCTGTTTCACGAAGACCGTTCTTTCTGTGTGGATAAGATGCCGATAAAGTAGTTTGATTTGGGGGTGTACCCGTGAAAATAAAACAACTTTAGAAAACAATTTATTGAAGGGGCTTGGAGGGCAAGGCGCATAAGCACAGTTTTTTCAACTTCAAGAAATCCGCGTTTAAAGTTTCAAAATTATACGGAGCCCCTTGGCGAAGAGAAAGTTCAAACTCTATTTTTGATGCTTAAAAATTGAATCTTACAATTAGAGGTACTTCTTTAACTAACTATATATTTTGACTAGTTTCATAGTTGAAATCATTAATAACCCACTGTTTTCAAAAACTGCACTAATGCACCTAGTCTTTTAAACCTTCCATTTGGAAATTGATAGGACGTCACTACGCTCTCGAGCATCTCTTCAAATTTGTAAAGAACACAAGACTTACAAGAGAGTTTATTTTTATTATACGACAAACCGCCTTGGAAAAGATTGTCATTGAGTTCAGTAACATTTCCTTAGAGAAAGAATCACATCAATGAGGCTGTTGAAGGAATGAACGCTATACATATCCCAGTATGGATTAGATCCAGATGCGAATGAACTCTGGTTCAATTGAGAGGTATTGTCTCGAGGAGCTTACAATTAGCGCTGTTCGAGTACGATGATAAGAATACGAAGGCTTGGAGACTTAAACGCGCTGCCAAGAAAGTGAACCCGTGTGACGAGCTAATGAGACCCGTCCAGACCCGCGAGAAGAGTTGTAAAGACACAAAATATTATTATCAATCATAAAAATTAAGATGATACCAGGAGCACAGCACAGAGCACGGGAAATGATTGATGATAGAGAAAAGAAGAGGATGTATTTGAGTAAAGCAAAAGCACACCAAGGTATTTCTCGTAAGTGTGAGGTGCAGATCTTGATTATGTGCACGCGGCCAAATTTCACTTTGGAAAACATTTTAGGTAACACTTGCGCAATAGCCAAGGCATACTTTTGGCACCGTCCCCCAAGATTCTTAAAGAGTAGTCATTATTCACTGTAGTCTACCCAGCGCGGCGCCTCGAGCCCAACAGGGTCATCGGGTATCGCTTTAGCTTGACTACACTCTTGCCGGGTCAGCGTAGAAATCGTTTAAAATCTCCCTAGTTCCTTGAATTTTCAGGGTCCTTCAGGCAAATAAAGACTTGGCAGAGATGCACAAACTATGATAGATAGCTCGTCTCACTCTTAGCCCGCGTTCAGTTGTGAGCGCTGCCATGCGCCCCGAAAAACGCCATATCAACATTTAAATGTTACGAAAATTCCTCCGATAAAATATTAACTTCTGAGGAAATTTAAGAATTTATTTCCTTGAAATTTTCACGCCCCTTAGACAAAATTGCGAGTACGTTTTTCTGTAGAATTAGAAGGGAAATATTGACAAGCCTTCCTAGAAATTCGTATGACATGGAAGGAAATGTTGCAACATCTGAAGACTCGTGCGGCGTTTCAAGATGCTCCGGGCATCCGGCCGACATTTGACGGGAATCTTTTTCTTATTGAAAGCCCTCCTGAAAATGTTAATGATGATAACATTTTTGACCCGTTTTCATGGGAATAATCTGCTGGAATAGAGGGAAATGAAACGAGTTTGTGGGCAATTTTCAGGGGTGTTCTCGGGATTCGGATACATCTAGTCTCATTGCGAAAAATGGGGCATGCAATCATTTCTGAGGAAACTAAAACGAGGAATGATGCATTCAAAACAGAGCTATAGAATCTGTCTCCTTCGAGAAAAACAGGATTACGAAGCTACTAGGGGGCTACGCCCCCTGGCCGCTACGCGGCCCAGCCCCCTGAGGGCGCTCCGCGCCATCAATGGGCCGCTTCGCGGCCCTATTTTTACCCTCCTGTCAATGTTGGTTTTATTTTTCTCCTAGAAAATTACGATATGACGTATACTCTACTTTTAGAATGAAATGATTTTTGTTTTTGTTGAATAAAGACCAAAAAAAATGTTTTTGAAGTCAAAAGGACGCGTTTGGGAATGACTTCTTAGTGAAATATTGCAGTAAAACAACGAACAATGATAATCAGGTAATAACTAAATGATTGAGGAGACGGGGATCGAACCCACATCTTGGTTCATAGGGCGTCTCCGACGTCTTGGACGACTCGGCCACCGCTCATCTAGGGCCTATTGCCTGTCGATTTACGCAAAAATCATGGAAATCGGCCCGGTAGAACGCTCAAACAAACTATGACAAAAAGTATAAATTTACATTCTTTAAATGGGAGAATTCGCAACTTTACCACGTAATATAAAAAAACCTGGGTCATATTTTGAAAAACTGAATAGAGCGGGCTAATCTAGAGACAATTGCCCGTCGATAGCCGCAAAAATCATGAAAATCGGCCCGGTAGAACGCTGGAGCTAAGCGTTACCAGTTACGCAAAATTAGGAGGTCTGCGGGAGCTTATAGTATAGAAAGTATAGAAGTATAGATAATTGCGCAGAAATTTTGAAACATTGGAGTTTGGATGCGTACCTACGTGATTCTGAGGCTCGGCCACATATATACATACAGCATTATAAAAGTGGTTGTTCAATGTGAAAAATAGGTCCACTCTAATATTCAGCGTCTAAAAATAATATAAATTTATTACGATATTATAAGGAGCGATCACCTTACCTCGGACACAGTTGTTTGGTACGGGGTGTTGATGAATTTCGGAGCATTGTCGTTGATATCTGAAACACGAACTATCACCGGAATTGTGCGCTTTTTATTGGTTGCTCTAATCGTGCACGTAAGCTACAACAAAACAGAGACAATTATAAGATTAAAAAATTGTTTGGCAAATTGGATGCAAATTTAAAATTTTATCAAAGAAAACAAAAGTATTCTTCATATTTCTTATACATAAAACACAGGATTCTTTTGAACCGTTGTTGATAATTTTCTTAAGTCATCCAAATTATCGACAAACTTCAACGAACAGGTCTCTTATAATTCAAAATAACTCTTTGAGTCGTGCAGTTTAAATTTCTACGTAAAGCGGCAGTTAAAGCTTCAGACACCCATTGTGTCATGTTCAGAAGGAAAGTACCAGGAGCATGGACGCTCTTTTGCAACAGCCAATCTCTGTAAAGAAATTAGAGACCGCTTAAACAGTCTTTGAGAAAAGTAAAACGAGTTGGTTCTTCCATACAAAATACAGTCCAACTAGAAGACTGCATCTTGCAAAAAAGGACCAGAATTGAGTAACGCTGCTAAAATTGCGTGTTAATTCCCTAGTGGCAGAGCTAAATTCACAGTATATAAACGAAGTATAACCGTTACATAAAGAGCGTATTTATACAAAGAGTGTATAATCAAAGTTAGTTAGTTAGTTTTAGTTAACGACGATCAGCATCTAGGTTCTAGGCTATTTACGTCGGGGACTAGGCAATTTTAAATTTTTAAATTTAATATAATTTAATTTTTTTTTAATTATGACGGTTCTATAACATATATATATAAATAGCGTATATATATAAAAGATGTATAACTGAAGCCTAACGGTTGTATAAAACATTTTTACAAATACATTTTATATGAACTAATGATAAAGGTTATTCGCGCAATTTATAAAATTATTTTATTAATAACAGTTATGACGGCGGTTTCCTTTGAACATCCCGTTACTTAACCGTTATATAACCGTTATACATATGAGTGGTATTCGTTGAAATTTTTTTATATAAATCTGCTACTAGGGTTCTCCTAAAAGACGAAACCTAAAATTTTAACTGTATATTCATAAAAGCAATTGAAATAATCGGAGGATTTTCGGGATATAAACTGCATTTTCCAGGAGCTCGGCAGAAATGTTTCTTTTTTGGCTTACTCAGACTCAGTAGACGCTGTTATTTAAAAAGCTGATGGGTTTTTGCTCGTGATAGATCAACAAATTTAAACTCCTTCGAATGGATTTCTACGTTCACAATATGTACACACACGGTGTCGTCGAGGTGCGTGGTTGACCTCGTCGCAGTAAATTCCCTTCATGTGCTGTTTACCTGTATTAAATCTCTGTACATGAAAACTAATCAGGTTGGTACGTGCGAGTCAATGACGCGCCTTAAGAACATATTGTGTTGGAGTTCACTGCTTGTTCATGATTACTGATATTTTCCATGTTGTCTATCTTAAAATAATTGCACCTCTTAAATTATTCGGTCTCTTTTATTTTTTGTGGGGGGGGGGGGGTTTTCA